TAAATAAATAAAAATTTCGATTAGTGTTTTGTGTTTTTTTAGGAATAATTAAGGAGAATGTACATCTTATCTGACTAAGCAATCGAATTAGTGTCAATCGAATGGCATTCAGTTTCTACGTCAGAAACGTTTACTATATTCATTTTCTGATGTATCTAGCTCGACCTTATTCCTGGATGTTGTTCTTGAGCCTCTGTATGGACCAGAACCTATAATCTATCGACTTTGATTTGTATACCGTTTATAACCTTCATCGGTACATACGCGGGCGGGATTGAGGGAGTTAAACCGTAGTCTGTCCTATCCCGAACTCGCGATAACCTCTTCAAATGGAAATTCCCGAATGTTTCACTGCATGTCTTCACCATTCTCCTGTGTGCCTACAACACCTTTTCGTCTGGGACGCGGAAGATTACTAACAGATGCCTGTTGCTGAAAACATTGCAGTAGGTGATGCATCACTGGTTTCGTTAGTGGAGTCCTGCTCTAGGAATAGGGCACCTATGTTCCCTACCTTAAGGCAATTTAGCGCCCATTTTCGAAGTAAGAGTCGACGTTTTTGCATTCTGCTCAGCGGAGAACTTTTTGGCAACCCATTTTCAAACAAGAAATAGACATTCCAGTGTCTGTCTTTGGCTGGAAAACTCCTCAAAAATTCTCAAAATCTGGATCGCGAAGCAAAAGTCATAACTGACAGAAGAATTATTTTCTTAGTAAATGGCAAAGCTAGGCAATCAACTATCAACCGAGAAATCCAGTGCTTGTTTCTCCCGACCGCAATATTTGCTTAGAGCTAAAATTCCCCTTATTCATGATCGAAAGCACGTTTTTACACATTGACCGCTAGCCTTCTTACCGGGCATCTTCGTAGAAGGTTACCCGTTAGTTTCGAGTAAATGCCAGGTATTGCGGCTCGCTCGACGAATACAACTGCTGTCTGAGTGATTGTGGCTGGCGATTTATTTTGGTCGTAGTTGGCAGGGCCTCAAAACGCCTCTTTCCTTGCCAAACTTTTTGAGTGATCCTGGCAGATGAGACTGGACGCAATAAGAAAGCTTTTCGTCTTTTCATGCATAAAGCGCATAAGCTAATTGCTTATATTTCCACTTAGAAGGGCTGGCTCTAGCCTCTACCACGCTTTTCATGCAAAAGAACTAGTAAACAATATAATGACCTCGTATTTTTTACTCCCAATTATTGAGTCGTCAAGTATGAAATGTGTAGTGAGGCATAAACATTGGCAGCTTTTGGTTTCACGTGGGTATTATATTTCCTCATTCTATTTTTTGTTAGAACGCTGCAACACATATTTTCATTTCCTAAATAATGTAACAAATTTAACATCTTTTTTTATTACTGTTGTTTAAAAATGGAAACTCTGAAATTCTTAAAAGTATGAAATATGATTTCCTACATGGAAATACCGTATCACAGACAGCTCGGAACGTTAATGATATCATTCGCTCTAATGTTACCGTATCGAATACATTTACGAAATTTATTTTTGGTGAATTTGACCTCACAAATTAGCCCCACGATCTGGCAGAATTAAAAATTGATAATTGCGAAATGAAAGCCACCGTTGAGTACCATACATCTCAAAGTACCCGGTACTTATCATTGAACTTTCATGCTAGCAGGCTAACAATATTACCTCACTTAGCTGAAGTCAGCAAAGTGAATAAATTGGATATATGCGTTCCACATGAACTGAATAAAAGGCAGAAACAAAAATGTGGGAGGCTTTATCATGCTTGTTTCTCGTCACGAGAGTGATTCCGTTTTTAATTAATTTGCAACGTATGATCATAAATGGATCCAGGAAGATGACCAAAACATTTGGAACAGTGGTTTAAAAAGGTCAAGCCACCAAAGGATGGCCCAAATCGTAATATTAACCAAAAGCTAATGGTGAGTGTTTGGTGGTGGGATGCAGGTGCTTAGGATTTCAGGAAGTCTAGCTCCTTCAGCACAACAGAAGTGCATTGCAACCAGCTGTACCAAATTATCCTTAAACTTGTAGAATAGCAGCCTAGACTGTTTAACCGATCGACTCTTATTCTAGTGCACGACAACGCTAGACCATATTACAGAGGCAAATCTAGAAGAGTTGGAGTTGGAAGTTCTCCATCATTCACCATACACGGCAGACCTTGCCCTCACTGACTACCAAGTCCTCTAGAATTTAAATACCATTTTTTAACAGGAAAACAATTTTATTCCGATCTTGCTGTAAACAAGACCCTCAAGACTTAACTGACTCTCGATTATAAGGTTTTCATACCGCTGAAATGTCAAAAGGGTATTATCAATGAGGATGCATGCTTTGATGAATAAAACTATTCCTTGTGTGCATAAGAAAAGTGAAAAATGCTGTTTTTTCGAAAATTTTCATACTCGACAACCGAACTGCCCGCCGCCCGGCAGCTCGTGGCTCACTGGTTAGGGTGTTTGACTCTGATAAAAAGGTCGCGAGTTAGAGGCTCGGTTGTGGCACCACTTGGGTATGAGTATGACTAGCTGGTGACGGCTAATAAGCCAGAAATGGTCATGCCAGTCTCCCTTGTCTTTGCCGGCAATACTATCTACCTAAATTTACATTTATTCGCCAGCCAGACTAGCTAAGGTGTTCGGCAACGCAAAACACAGTCTAATTAACTGGCAGCCTCTTCGAGCGTACGCGTGTGTGTGGATCTACTTGGTGGGGGGGGGAGAGAAGGGGGTGGAGGC